TGGGCACTGTCCCTCAGCTCTTCAGCTCAAGGCTAGCGCTCTACCACTTTAGCCACAGCGCCACTTCCGGCTTTTTTCTTTTTTCTTATGTGGTGCTGAGGAATCGAACCCAGGGCCTCTGGCATGCAAGGCAAGCGCTCTACCACTGAGCCACCTTCCTAGCCCCCAAAAAGACCATTTTTAAATGACAATTGTTTCCAATATATTAATCTTGTATTTACTTAAAATTTTCGGATTCAAGCTAGCCCAGAACTCTGGAGCTCAGGAGATCCTTCCACCTCAGCCTCATGTATATCTGGGACTATGGACATTTATTACCACAGCTGGCTTCAAGATTAATTCTTTTTTTTTTTTTTTGGCAGGTCGTGGGACCTAAACTCTGGGCCTGGGCGATGTCCTTCAGCTCTTCAGCTCAAGGCTAGCACTCTACCACTTTGAGCCACAGCGCCACTTCCAGCTTTCTTCTGCTTATGTGGTGCTGAGGAATTGAACCCAGGGCCTCATGCATGCAAGGCAAGCACTCTACCCCTGAGCCACTTTCCCAGCCCCTTCAAGATTCATTCTAAGGAAAGTAGTATGCGGGGTTTTTTTGTGTTTTTTTCCCCCCACTGTATGATAGATTATTTAAGGATTAGGACCATCTAGTATTGTGCATACACTCTGGTGGCCAGCTGCCCCAGAATTATAAGGTTAAAGTATTTCCTTTTTCTACCTATCTGTTCCCTACCTCCATGGTTTGTGCTTGGTGCATTGCCTTGATAGCTGTCTGTGCCATGGCTCTTGTTGTAAAAGTCACAAATGCACAACCTGGTAAGAGAAGAATCAGTAATTCACTCATTTGTTTACATACTTATCTGATGAACACAGACTGAAAGCTATGTGTCAACTTCCAAACTAGTTTTCAGGGGTTCATGAGCTGACAGATCAAAGAGATACATGTCATTAACTGGGTACTAAATATTATAATAAAAAATAAGGGAATCACAACCAGTAACAAGTGCCTGAGAGGGGAAGAATCATATCCTTTAGTTGTCCTTGAAACAGTGGAAAGAAATGCTTGCATCTTGGCATCAAGATCTTCACCTAACACAAAAATGAAAAATTTTAATACATGACACTGAAGTACAGAATGTAAATCCTTAGTGGGGATAGGAGAAATCAAAAGGAATCTGTTGACAAAAGTCTGATAGGATTTAGATGTACAGAAGGAAGCAGTAGGCCAAACCACTTCATCATAACAAGGACATGGTGGCTAGGGATCTGTTTTCCACTAGTTAATTTAAAAAAGGGACTCTGAATTTAAGACACACATCTTTAAGTGATATAAAAATGTACCACCTCGGCTCAGGCCATCAGGTCCCCGCAATATCCTGCATTCTTCAATCTGTCCAAATGAAGAGAACATGACTCGGATGTCATTTTCAGTGCACTTCTTGGAAATCATGCCAATAAACAACTTCCTGTCTTCCACTGCTAAAAGAGTAAAATACAAAAGGCTCAAATATTATTACTAAAAGGTCAGGGAGCATAAACTTGGGAATCAGTCTGCCTAGGTTTGAATATTGGCACTATGCTTCATATACTATTTCACAGATTTTCAATACACACATTTTCCCTCTATAATGTTAAACTTCCTCCTCCAACCAATGGTATATTGAAATTATATATAACTTTAAGAAGTATTCAGATGAAATATAGTAGCCTTGTGCTCTTGTTAAAATTATTGAATGGAGGATATCACCGATCTGTGATGGTTTCCCCTCCCTTGATTAAAGATAAACAGGTTTACTTCAAAGTATAACTGTAGGTATTAATTGCAAAATGTTTAGCATCTTACCTAGTACTTAGTATGTGTGCCCTTTCTAGAAATAGTGTTTTAAAAAAGAAGTTTTCCCACACTTGTGACCACAGGAACAAAATACCCTTTTTTCAGTGAGTAGAATTTCTTTAAAAACGCACCCCCCCACACACACCACCTGTGAATGGTACTTTGGTCATTTTTGTATAGTTAATAACTCTGGGATCTTAAAATTAACAGCCCTGCTTGTTGAGTTTCTCATAGACACCATAAAATGTTTCAACTCTATGTTCCATATTCTCTAATGTGTTCTGTCCAAATGAACCTTTATGAGCCAGATGTCATCCAATTTCATGTTGACTTTCTTGGGAGGAATATGCGTAATTCCCAGTTTCACTTGAAAAGGTAAAGCTCTTAAGGATCCCACCAAACATAGCTGTCAAGTGCGGCTCCTGCTGGGCGCTGATAACTCACACTTGTAATCCTAGCTACTCAGGAGGCTGAGATCTAAAGATCAAGGTTCAAAGCACTTGGGCAGTAAAGTCCATGAGACTCTTTTTGCTGTCCCTGAGCCTCTTTGTGCTCAAGGCTAGCACTCTACCAGTTGAAACACAGCTCCTCTTTTGGCTTTTTCTGTGTAGTTTATTGGAGAGGTAAGAGTCTCATCGACTTTCCTGCCTAGGCTGGCTTCAAACAGTGATCCTCAGGTCTCAGCCTCCTGAGTAGCTAGGATTACAGGCGTGAGCCACTAGCACTAGTCTATTCATGAGACTCTTCAACTAACTACCAAAAAGCGAGATGTAGAGGTGTGGCTCAAATGGCAGAATCATCCTTGAGGGAATAAAAAGCTAAGGGACAGTGTTCACTCCCTGAGTTCAAGTCCTAGTACCAGCACGAAAGAAAGAAAATGGGCTGGAGATATGGCTCAAGCAGTTAGAGGGCCTACCAGACAAGTATGATGCCTTGAGTTCCAACTCCTGTAGCACAAAACAAACAAATGTGTTATACTCATAAAGAACATTCTAGTTCATTCTAATATGTTCTTTATCATACTAATTTAAAAGACAATAGTAAAATTTATTTTTGGCCAGTACAGGGATTTTGATTTCAGGACCTTGTAGCTGTTCAGCTGGCCCTCTACCACTTGAGCTGTATCTCCAGCCCTATTTCTTGCTGGTTATTTTGTTTCTTTTTTTGTTGTTGACAACCATGGGGCTCGAACTCCGGACCTGGGTGCTGTCCCTCAGCTCTTCACCTCAAGGCTCGTACTCTACCACCTGAGCCACACCCCACTTCTGGCTATTTCTGTTTATGAAGTGCTAAGGAATCGAACCCAGGGCCTCATGCATGTGAGGCAAGCACTCTACCACTGAGCCACCATTCCAGCCCATTTGCCGGTTATTTTGGAGATAAGAGTCTCATGGACTTTTCTTCCCGGGTTGGTTTTGAACCAAGACCTGTAGATCTCAGATTCCTGAGTAATTAGGATTACAGGTATGAGCCACCAGTATCAGGGTGGAAGTCTAGATTCTTGGTTTTTTGGGTGTCAGTCCTGGGGTTTTTACCTGGCTTTTGCCAGGGCTTGGGTGCTGTCCCTGAACTTCCTTTGCTCGAGGATAGTGCTCTACCTGAACCACAGCACCAATTCCATCTTTTTTTTTTTTTTTCTGAGTTTATTGGAGTTAAGAGTCTTACAGACTTTTGTTTCAAAGATAGCCTGGACAGGAAAGGCTATGAGACTCTTATCTCCAATAAACCACTTAGAAAGCCGGAAGTGGTGCTGTGGCTCAAGTGGTAGAGCATTGAGTTGAAGAGCTCAGGGACAGGGCCCAGGCCCAAAGTTCAAGCCCCAGGACACAACAAGAACAACAATTAAAAAACAACAACAAAACAAACAACAAAAAATCTAAGAAGACTTGATATGCTTGCTTACCATTGTTCTTTTCACTGTCAGCAGGTTTCATCTGTATAGGATGATGCATCTACAAAGGAAAACCCAAGTATTATCCCTATATACATTGATGGCATTAAACAATGTGAGTTAGTTCTAAAAGACCTACCAAAACTAGAGCCTTAAGGGGTTTTTTTTTTTTTTGGCTAAATTTATTCCTGCCTCATGATCTTTCCCCACAAAATGTAAGAATAGACAGAATGTGAGTCATGACATTAAAATACCCAAGATTCTTGGCAGAATGAGAACTACTTTCAACCTATCTTCTTTGAAGGCTCCCTTTACATCTTTCTTTTCATCAATTCCCATAGTGGTTACCTTTTCTGCAAAATGTTTTTCAGAACGTGCCTGATATGTATAAACATGTCCCATGTAACAAACAACCACAGTTCCATTTATTAGCAGGAGTTTTCTTACCCCTGGCAGGACTTTCATGTTGTGAAGAGCATTCTGCGCTTCTAATGCAGCTTTGCGGGTGTAAAATGTAACAAAACAGCACCCTGTAACAAACGAAATTTTATAAAAATCAAACCAGTAGTTGTTCAAGTATTCCTTTTTCCCCTAAACTAAAATGGAACTTAAAACTAGAAGAGAAAGAGAGAGAAGCTGGGTGTAGAAGGGTCTTTTTATGCTTTTTTTTTTTTTTTTGATTTAGCCTCCTAGTCACAAGTCTTCTTTAGCTATTTCTACAACTTCTTTGGAAAGATAGCTTATCTTGCAAAAGTCAGGTGCCATTCCATGTATCAAACCTACTGGGAACTTCAAGTAATAAACGGAGGAGGACAGCCACAAACAGGACAGGCTCCACACTCCAGCAGCAGCAATCTTCAAGAGCTCCTCTCCCTACTCTCAAACCACTTCCTACATACCATAGCTGGTTTCTACCATAGGCTTCAAATAACATTAAGTCACCAAAGACTTAAGTGCAGTAACTTACGAACTTAGTATCTCTTTAAACTTTTGGGTCTCATCAAAAACAAGCTTGAAGCTCCTGAAATCTATAGACTCTGTGCTTTGTGGAGTAGTAGAAGGAAGTATGCTTTGCGAATCTTGGGTTTCAATGTTCTGATGCTTCCAATGTTTCCATGAGATAAAAATAAACTGGCAATTTCTTTGTAATACCTAGACCATGGATTCGTGGATAGTCTTTCTCTTTTAGTTTACTCTGGTCAGGATACTAAAGAAAAGCTTACATGGTTGGCTCTATTTTACTTTGTCATTCCATTCTAAGATTAAATATTTCAAAAGATCTATCAATTAAATTTAAGGCTCACAAAGGATTGCCTAGAATCAATCTATGAATTATCCTCCTGAGGTCACCTTATCTTTTTATTTTTAGCCATTAAATGTGTTTGGACTATAAAATAGAGCTACTTTAAAAGGACAGAATTTTCCCCCTGTAAAAAGACCACAGGAACACCCAAGCAACAAGAATGGAAGTTACACGATAGGAATTACAATAAAAACTCAATTCTTTGTACCCTATCAAAGCCATGAAAACCTTACCTTTGCTCTGAGGAGGGTTTTGGCTCCTATCCCTTAGGACATTGATTTCATAGACAGCACCATACTGCTCAAAAAGTTCCCTCAAGTCCTTCTCAGACCAGGTCCTCGGAACCTGGCCCACAAACATCTTAATAGCATCAAGATCCGGTTGGTCTGGGTGGTCCAGGGTGCCGTTCATTTTCTTTGAGCTGCAGGAAATAAAATGAAACTTCTATTATGTATTCAAGTTGTTTTTTTCCACAGGGAGTTTCTGTGTAAATTTTCAATAACTTGGCTAGAGTCATGGCTCAAGAGTGTAGAATGCCTGTCTACCTTGCTCAGAGTTCTAATCCCAGTACATCATAAAGAAGGAAGAAAAACTGAAAGAAAAAGATTTTCAACTACTAAAAATTTGGGGGCAAGGATTCTACTTTATTCACTTCTCAGAATTCTCTTGTCCTCCCCTCTAAGGTCCTTATTCTGATTAGGACACCCTGGGTTTAAGCTAAGAACTGACAATGTCACTTGTTCGTTGTCTAACATGAGAGTTTTCAGAGAAGCTTACAGGATGAAACTCCCAAAGCAAGGTTTTTTCTGGTTGGTTGTAGGACTTGAACTCAAGGCTTGGATCAACTCAAGGCTAGTGCTCTACCACTTTAAGTCACAGTGCCACTTCCAGTTTTCTAGTGGTTAATTAAAGATAAGAGTCTCACGGACTTTCCTGACTGGGCTGGCTTTAAACAGCAATCCTCAGATCTCAGACTTCTGTGTGTAGCTAGGATGACAGGCACGAGCCACTGGTGTCAGGACCAAAGCAAGTTTTAATATAAGAACTGACTAGGATACCAGTCTTTAAAAGTGGCTGCTTGATGCATAATCCTAGTGCTGTTTAGTTAGGTCACCCAACTAGAGAAAGCTCTGCCTCTTAAAAGTTCTATAAGAGATTGTGATACAAAAACAATGTGTCATCATCCTAGTTTTAATTATATATTTCTTATTTTCCTGGGTACTGTCCCTTAGTTTTTTTGCTTATGAGTGGTGTTGTACCATTTGAGCCATAGCTCCACTTTTGCCTCTTTTTCTGTTGGTTCTAGGGCTTGAACTCTGGGCCTAGGCACTGTCCCTCAGCTTTTCAGCTCAAGACAAGCACTCTACCACTTGTGCCACAGCATCACTTCCGTTTTTTTAGTGATTAACTGGAGATAAGAGTCTCAAGGCCTTTCCTCTCTGAGCTGGCTTTGAACAGCAATCCTCAGAGTAGCCTCCTGAGTAGCTAGGATTACAGGCGTGAGCCACTGGCGCCAAGCCTGGCTTTTTTTTTTTTAAGTGGCTAACTGGAGGTAAGGGTCTCACTGACTTTCCTACCTGGACTAGCTTTGAACATGATCCTCAGTCTCCTGAGTAGCTAGGATTACAGGCACACACCATGGGCTTGGGCCCTAAATTATTATTATTTTTTGGTCCAGTCGTGGGGCCTGAACTCTGGGCCTGGGCGCTGTCTCTCAGATCTTCAGCTCAAGGCTAGGGCTCTACCACTTGAGCCACAGCGCCACTTCCGGCTTTTTTCTTTTTGCTTATGTGGTGCTGAGGAATCGAACCCAGGGCCTCAGGCTTGCAAGGCAAGCACTCTACCCCTGAGCCACCTTCCCAGCCCCCTAAATTATTTAATGTACTGCTATTACTCCAAGATCTTACCATTGGTTTCCATTTCCAAGTGCAACTATTTCACATCACTGTCAAGAATATTTAGGAGAATTCTAGATCTATAGATGTTTCTACTCAGAAGATACTATCAATTTTGAAATACTTCCCACTGTTTCAAGAGCTCATATTTATCTAAGCCAATAACAATTTAAGTTTAAAAAAACTAGCAAGTTTGTCTTTTCATTTTTTTGTTGCTTTACTACTTAATACAGCAGTCTAATCATATTCAAAATTTCTAGATTCTAATAACCAATCCAAAATAATCTCTTCCTCTATTATATATTAACCACTATTTTAAGCATCATGTAGCTGCACCTACCCTTTTAAAGGACTGACAGCTTGAAGGAAGTTTCAGCTCTTTTTTCTTTTTTTGCAGTACTAGGTTTTGAATTTGGGGTCTCAAGCTTGCTAGGCAGCTGCTCTCTATTCCTATCCATCCCTGTAGCCACACCTGGTATAGCCTCTGGTTCAAAGTTAGCAATCAAATGTGGGATGGGATGAAAAGAATTTCTTGATAATGGTCCTAACAATTCTTCTTATTCAGTTAACCGTACCAAAATAAATGTGTGCACAAGATGATGCAAATTTAAGATTATGAGTCTGACAAAAATTTAAGACTATAATTAGTCAACTGCCATAGGACCTAGGTAAGACCTTTTTTGAAGTGTTTTTGAATGCATTATTTCATTGGGTTTCCTTTAATCTGCTAATTTGAAGATTTGTATGGCAGGTCACTGCAAAGATATAATTATTCAGAAGCTTCATCTTAATGTTTAACAAAAATCAGAGTACAATGATGAGAAAAAGCCCTATGACTAGTGAAACAATGGGTGTCCCTCCCTACATCCTGCCCCCAACAACTTTAATTACCAGCTTTAATACCAGTTTAATAAAATGCTGTTAATATTCCATCATATTTCTATTTTAGGAATAACAGAACCCCAATGGTGTTCAGAATATATTCTGATAATAACCTGACAGCTATTTCTGAAAAGAGGCAGAAGTTTATTCATTTGTATTACACTGTAGGCAACTGTTACCATCTTGTCCCTTCCTTCTTTTTTTTTTTTTTTTTGTGTCGGTCGTGGGGCTTGAACTCTGGGCCTGGGCACTGTCCTTCAGCTCTTCAGCTCAAGGCAAGCGCTCTACCACTTGAGCTACAGCGCCACTTCTGGTTTTCTGGTGGTTTATTGGAGATAGGAGTCTCACAGTCTCTCCTGCCTGGGCTGGCTTTGAACTGCGATCCTCAGATCTCAGCCTCCTGAGTAGCTAGGATTACAGGCGTGAGCCACCAGCGCCTGGCTCCCCTTCCTTCTCTATGTGTGCCACATGAAAATTTTCTGCATTGTCATTTAGTATAAGAAACAAAACTGCAGTCAGTATTAGATTATATATTGTAGTTTACACAAAATAAATCCCCAGGATTCTAGACAGAAGTTCTTATTTTCTCTTGTTTATTTAAGTTCACCTACTTGTTGAAGGCTGACCTTTCTCCTCTTGTATAACAATAGGCACATGAATGCCCTGGAACAGTGCTACTCTAGGAGAAGCCCAAAGACTTAACCCTTTAGAATTTTTTACAGAAACTGGCCATGCCAGTGGTTCATACTTGTAATCCTGGCTACTTGGGAAACAAAGATCCTCTGTCCAAAGCCAGTCTGAGCAAAAAGTTAGCAAGGCTCATGCATGTAAATGCTAGCTACTCAGAAGGCTGAGATCCAGAGGACTATGATTCAAAATTAGGCCAAACAATAATGTCTGTGGGACCCTGTCTCCAAAATCTGACAAAAACCAATAAAAAGCAGGGCTGGAAGTGTGTCACAGGTGGTGGAATACCAGCTAAGCAAATATGTTGTCCAAGTGAGAGGTCCTGAGTTCAAACCCTAGTTCCTACCCCCAAAAAGTTGGCAAGACTCCATCCCCACCAGGAAACTGAGCCAGGGATTCAGCTATATGGGGAGCCTAAGTAGGATGATCACTGCCTGGTCAGACGTTGGCTAGGCAAAAGTATCAGAGCCTATCCAAAACATAACTAAAGCAAAAGAAAGGACTGGGAGTGTCTCAAGTAGAGCTCCAGCTTAGTAAGCTCAAAGCCCTGAGTTCAAATCAAACCCTAGAACCAGAACTGAAATGGACTGAGCCATCTTCAGTCTGTTCAATTTGATACAGTAAATACAAAAAAGCTCACATTTTAAGGTTTTTTTTTTTTCTTTTTGGATGCTGGTCCTGGGGCATGAACTCAACTCAGGGCCTAGGCACTGTCCCTATGTTCTTTTTGCTCAAGGCTAGTTCTCTAACACAAGCATCACCCAGATTTTTTTTGGTGTTTTGGGACACACACACACACACACCTATATAACAATTTTATTACATTACGAGAGATGTGGTGGCTCACTACAGTTTGAGAAGGAAATACTTAGATTCAGCAAATTAGTCAGTCAGGCTCAAGATGCTGTGGAGCTCAGAGGCTAGAACTATGTACCGACTTATTCCTTCCTCAATAAATATCAGGCACTTACTTATACAAGATAACACTCATGATGTTCATGTGTATATATTGGTATATAAAACAAGGATTATTTCCTTGGAGATCATGGAAATGGAGTTAAAAACAAAAGTGGCAATGTCAGATAAAAAAAAGATTGAAGTAACCACATGTATCTATTTATGTATATAAATAAATGTAATAAACCTAAGTAAGCAGTAACAAATTTTGTCAACTGCTACTGATGTGAAGAGCTGAATAACAATGCTCTTCCATGCTTCCTCTTCTACATATACCTCCAGTGTATATACTGTCCTTTAAAGTACACACTGTAGTGGCGCTGTGGCTCAAGTGGTAGAGCACTAGCCTTGAGCTGAAGAGCTGAGGGACAGCACCCAGGCCCAGAGTTCAGGCCCCACGACCGGACCCAAAAAATAAATAAATAAAGTACACACTATATAAAAAAGCCACTTGGGGATGAGACAGTGTGAGAGATCACTAGATACATTCTGAAATTTGTGCCTGCCTCCTCACTCAGTGAAGAGCTCCTCAGAGTAAGTGATCATGAATTACATATATTTACACTGCTCATTCAAGAATCAGCAAACTGGGACTGAGAAGGTGGCTTAGTGGTAGAGTGCTTGCCTAGCATGCATGAAGTCCTGGATTTACTACCTCAGTACCACATAAACAGAAAAAGCTGGAAGTGGCACTGTGGCTCAAGTAAGTAGAGAGCTAGCCTTGAGCACAGAGAGACTCAGGGACAGTGCCTGGGCCCTGAGCTGAAGCCCCAGGACTGCCCACGCCCCCCCAAAAAAAAAGCCAGGCGCCCATGACTCACACCTGTAATCCTAGCTACTCAGGAAGTGGAGATCTGAGGATCACAATTCAAAGCCAGCCTGGGCAAGAAAGTCTATGAGACTCTTGTCTCCAATAAACCATCAGAAGTGGCACTATGGGTCAAGTGATAAGAGCACTCAACTTGAGGTGAAGTACAAAGCCCAGGCCCAGAGTTCAAGC